ACTTGTATAACTTGTATTTTTTTAATAATTAAAACATTATATAGTATTTTGACGTAAGGAAAAAGGGTTTCCTTACAACAACTATGCTCCAACCACAAAAAGAATGACCAAAATCATGTTAAATCAGATATCTTCTCCAAAGGAAATCTTTTTCATGGTCATCTAGAAGAAAAACACAAGGCCATATTGGAAAAATTGAAAAATGAAATTATGCAATTTAACAAGGCTTTAGAAAGTTTGAGAGCAGAGATGAAACAAATGAGAAAAGATATAGAAATTTATGTTGCTCCAAAATTGATTATAACTCCAACACCAATCATAAATACAACTCAACCACCACTTAAAACTACATTACAACAACCCATTAAACATAAACGCAATTTCACTGAAGTAACCCCATCATCATCTTCTGATACACAAGATTCAGAAACTGAACAAATACCTTCACCTAAGCAATTATTAGCAAGACAAGATAATTTAGAAAATCAAATTGAAAAACAAGCTAATATTTTGCATCGAATCTACAATTTCATGAATTCTGTTTCACCCACAGAAAGTGATGACAATGATACAATAGCGGAAGAAAAAGAAGAAGATGAAGAAGAAATGGATCACGATCCTTCCTTCCCTACTGCTTCTACCCAATAATGTTCAACATTATAACCTTATCATCATTAATGATTAATCATAATATTAATAATCAAAATAATAATAATCAAAATCGAAACATACAATTTCCTTTCCGCTTCATGACTCTAAATATACAAGGTCTAAACTCATATGCTAAACAACAACAATTAGTTGATATGATGAATTCAAATCATATAGATTGTTTAGGATTATCTGAAACAAAAATTGCAAATAAAAATTCAAAACATATTATAAACAACACCAAGAGTTTGTCACCTATTTTAATAATGATAATAATACAACAATGGGCACAGGTGTTGGAATACTCCTTTCGAAACAACTTGCAAAATATGTACAAAAAGTAACTAAACATAAAGGCAGAGTAATATACATTGATCTATTCTTGAAAGGGAAGATCAAACTACAAATCATTCAAATTAATTTACATGCCAACACCACAGGAATCCAACAAGAAATCAAAAACCTTCATGAATATATTTTCAGTACTCTTGAAAACTCACAAAAAAACCATTTCAAAATTATACTAATGGGAGATTTCAATATGAATTATGAAAAATATTTATCGGCATCAGGAAAATGTGTTTTTTTTGATACACATATTATATGTATATTATATGTGTATTATTTTACATTACAGGTGATCCTCATATAATATACATATAATACACATGTCCATAAATTACACACGAATTATACATATATTATATGCAGATCACCTGTAATGTAAAATAATACATGTATAATATACATATAATATATGTATCAAAAAACACGTTTTCCTGATGTAGAAAGTACATCACCAACTGTTGCCTAATATAACAAATATTTATTAATATCTTTTAGTTGAAAATATTGTTATTGATGGTTATATAACTTATAATAGTAGACCATGAATTTTGATTAATATTATACAAGTATATCTAAACATAATATGTATTATTAGAATATATAATATTCTCATTCCTTTTATTTTAATTAAATAATAAAAGAATAAATTATATTATTACTTGAGTTGCAGCATAAAAATCAAGGTAAATTATAGTCTCATCATTCAATGCATGACAATTGAAGTAATCTATGTGTGATATAGATGGACCACTATTACTTGGTGTTAAGGTTGTAAATATCAAACTTTTGGCATTGAATTTATATATATTTGAATCATTTGATGTGGCTATATATGTGTTTCCATTATTATCTTGTGTATATTTTGTTTGACCAACTTTATTTAATTGTAATTGTCCATTTAGGGTTTCTGCAGTCCATGTATCAAATGTATTTGTATTTATTGAATAAACTATAGATCCATAATTTGTAAAACCAGATACTGATGTACCTCTATATCCAGCTATAACATAAAATGTGTCATTATTAGCTCTTCCTAATGCTAATGATGCACCATAAAATGAAGGTATTGCTGGTTTTGGATCTATTCGTTTTATTGGTAATGTTTGATTAAGTGAAAATAATGTGGATAAATCTAGGCAAATTATTTGGTTTATAAATGAACCACCAGAATATCCTCCAAAATAATAGAGTTTATCATTTAACACTATTGAACTTTGAGATTCTATTTGATCAGAAACAAAACATTGAAACAATTTAATAAAAATAAGTTGAAAATTATTATTGATAAATTTAATGACTTTAAATAGTTGTGATGATAATTATTCATTTTTTTTTATAGCATCTTTGCAGCAACCTTTGTCAATTTGGGTAATGATATTATTTCTTCTGGTATATCAAAATCCATAATCAAAAAAACTATTGGTTGCAAGCTTGCTGGCCAATTAGCCAAATACACTTCAACACTTGATCCTATAACATAACAGATAAACACTATTAGCATAAAAATTATAGTATTAATTCACATATTGTTTATCAACCAGGGGATTTTAATAGAGAATGCGGGGCACATTTACAGCACATTTATTAATTAAAAAAAATAATTGACCGTGTTTGTAAAATGGTTATAAAATTTATTTATAACGATAGAATAAATGTCAAAAAACATGAAAATTTAGTGACAAACACCCGCATTTTCTATTAAAATCCCCTGGTTCTGCGGATTAAAAATTGAATACGTGGGGGGTTCAAAAAGTTTTGTTACAGGACCTGTAACTTTATAACCTTGAATTAAATTAATCTGAATTCTTTTTTAAATAAAAGGCTTATTTCTCCTCTTTCAAATAAAAAATTGTTTGTTTTTTATAATTCATTGATTACTGAAATAATAATTTGCAAAGATCATCAATAAAATCAACTGAAAATTTTTGTTACAAAGTCATATAACTTTATGATTTTAAATGTAATAGGTTTAAAAATATTGTTATGAAGATTAGACATTCTTATATTTCAAACAAAAAAAAGTTAAATTTTTTGGCCTGTTAGTTACTAAGATATTAAATTTTAAAAATATCCAATAAAAAATATTTTATGTGCACTGTAAATGGATGGGATGTTAATACTATATGTCTAAATTTTTTTATTTACATATTAACTCATTCCTTCAAAATAGTTTCCCTTAACTTCTATACAATGTCTCAGTTAAGCATGTTAGCCGAAATTGCCTCTCTTAATAAATGATCATTGCTGAATCCGAAATGCTGAAATAGTTACCAAAATCAACTTCATTAGTTGTTGAAATTATATCTGAGATTATTTGAACACTTTAACTCAATAGCCAAAATCCTGAGTAATTTTTTTATGTCTATTGATATAAAGAATATTTTATTGTAAAACTGAAATTGCTTGCCGAAATTGATTTTTTCAAAAACCATTTCAGCTAACATCCTTAGTCTCAGCATCAGGAAATTAATTTAGCGTAAACTTGCATAAATCTTACGATGCCGATGTAATATTGTGTAAATCTTACAGTGCCGACGTAAGTTTTACACTTTT